GTTGGAGGCCATCGCTAGTAGGTTGGAGGGCCATTGCTCGTAGGTTGAGGCCATCGCTAGTAGGTGGGAGGTGATTGCTTTAGGTTGGGAGATAGAATACATCCCCATGACACGATATGTCACGACCAGATGCTGAGACGTCGCAATCTCGATTAATTTGTTCGCAGTTTTCTTGTTTTGCGGGCTGGAAAGTTCATTGGCTCTGAACCTAGGTCACCCGTATCAGCAGGTAGCAGTCTCATTGAAGTAATTGTTCATGGTGTGCCCATGCAGCAGAGACAATGGGTTTTAAGGATTTCATGACAAATCAAGTTATAAGTTATCTTGAACTAAACACAGACGCAAAACACGCCTATTGTGTCTTCGATTTGTGCCCGTAAAGATTCCTTTAGGACCTGGAATGTCAGGTGAATTGCTTTTGCTCGTGGAACGGTTTTCACTTGTTTTTTCTCAACTTTGTGCTTCCCAGCACCGGACCAAGGCCTGCTTCACTGCCCAATACGGTTGAGTGCTGACATTTCAATCTCTTGACGTTTCAAGATTCATGAGGCCCTGCTGGACCCTCAGAACGCTACTAGGAACAAGTGCATCGCTTCTAGTAACAAGTGCCTTACTAGTAGTAACAAGAAGCTAGTAGAAACAAGTGCCTTACTACTAGACAATAAGCATTTAATGAAACATCTCAAGTGCTGTGCGTACAGTTTCTCCAAGAAGAGCTGAAGCCAAGTACCCGAGGTTGCTCCAGTTCCGATATTTTGGACTGTGACTTGATGGAGAATTCAAGGCATACAGCTGGTGGTGGCCCGGTTTGCTATTGCTAGGTTTCAGGCCATCGCTATTCGGTTGGAGGCCATCCCTATCCGGTTGGGGGCCATCGCTATTGGGTTGGAGGCAATCGCTATTTGGTTGGAGTGGAGGCCATCGGTATTAGGTTGGAGGCCATCGCTATTGGGTTGGAGGCCATTGCTATTAGGTTGGAGGCAATTGCTAGTAGTTTGGAGGGGCTTTCAACTATGGTTCGCCTAACCTGAGACGTTCTTTTTTTCCAGACTCATCATTGTGATGTGATCAAGTGAGAAATGTCCGAAATCCTAGGAAGGCTCCAGCGGGAAATGCACCAATGTTCCTACTGCTTGGGCATCCAGCTGAAGGTGTGCCAAAGCAATGTGATCATGAAATCAGCATAGCAGGCAGTGGTTCAAATCGTCATCAAACCACGGACATAAAAAGAAACGGAGGCCCAAAGAAAGACAGAACAAAAAGACAAATACTTGGATGAGGTTTTCCTTGAGTCTTGGATTTGGGATCACATCAGTGATCCACCTATCAAGTGGCCCAAATTGGTGTTGCCACCTTGGCGAGGTGCGAGGTTCAAATGGTACAAAAACAGGCAAGTTGGGAAGATTTGGGAAGCTCATTTGCAAGTTGTGCAAAACATAGGCCTGTTCGAGGTTCTAGTGAAGTTTCATGGAGGACGGCCAGCTCTTCCACATAATGCAACATCGAATGGTAAAGAATCAACAGCAACATGCTCGACGACTTGGAGACTGCCCCCAGACAGGGGAATAGACGCTGAGCGCCGGTCAATTTCGCTCTGCACAGGTCTTTGGGCAACGAGGCGCAGCCTCTTGAGCAAGAGCTCGTCGACATTGTTTCGCGAAGGACTTCCTTCGTGTCAAGCTATCGTTAAGGCTGTGACAAAGCCATCATGAAACCTCCCGGCCCCTCACCGCAAGGTATCTTGAGAATCTTCTTGGAAGCTTGTTGCGAAGTGTTGGGAAGAAAAAAGTGTTTCCTGCTCAAAGCATTAGTCAATTTTCTATTTTTCAGGCATGAAATTCAGTGCCCACTAGATAAAATTGAACCCATTCGTTGACTTTCTATCCTATGCCTTTAGCGTGGCTTGACGGTTCCGCTGGAAGTGCTGAACCTGCCAACGCTGAGCCCCAGCATCAAGCTCGAGACAAAAAGTCACCCTAAAAGCGATAGCCTCCAACCTGCTTGCGATGGCCTCCAACATAATGGCGATGAATCATAGTTGGGTACGGATTCGCAACCCGCCCATATCAGCTTGAAAGCCTTCGTTCAAAAAAATGAAGGGTGAGAGGTTGGGGACTGGAGGCGTTTGGCATTTCAACTTGTGCCATCCTTGGTTTGGCATTGTTCAATCTATCTATCTATGCAGATTGGGCTAAGCTCAATGCGAATCTTTGCGATTGCGAATCTGCACCATTGAAATCGGGCTGCCGACTAGAAGAACACCATTTGAGCTTTTTGAGCGGAGTATTGGCGCCTGGCGCTCACTGCGAGATGTCCTTCTCTCTATTTGACGCAAGATGGTTCAGAGGATGCTTGGGGCACCAACCATCAATGTGCAGACCAAATTAAATGCATCCAATCGGTGCAGTCGGTGCATCATCATTTCTTGCAAAGTCTTAGTCTTAACCATCGAATATTTGATAAAAATTTGTTATAAGTTATAATCGATCTACCATCCACGCTGCTGATCTAATGCTTAATCCTTCTTGGAAATGGTTTTTCCCCACCTGTTAGGTGAGGGTTGTTAGATTTTATGTCAGCTGCTTTGTTGCTTTTCTTCTTCCTCCTCCGCCATTCCTTTCTTCCTCGCTTCTTTAATCGCGAGTATCGGATGGTAATGTTCTTCGCCGGACCTTAATCATTAGCTCCGGAGCAGTGTTTTCGAGTTCCGCTTGGTAATATTCTTTACCGAAATTTGCTCGGTAGTATTTTTGCATTTAAAAATTAACATCTTTCGATAATATAGATAAAATATTATTATTTTTTTTTAAATCTATAAATTATTCCGAAAATAAAAAATAGTATAGGTTGTTATATATTTTTTTAATTACCGAATTATATAATAAATTTATAAAGATTTCTTTAATTAATATATATTTAATGCACTTTGTGAATATTTTTTGTTATTTAATTTTGAAAAAAACAATATTATTGGATAATAATTGTGGGAATTCGACGCCGTCGATTTGAACTGAGGCTATGCTTGAGCGACTCCCGCAACTTGGGCCGGAACTCGTTGAATCTTCCCTTTTGTATTTATCCTAGATGGGTGGGCATGCACTGTGCATTAGAGCCATGGTCGCGATGGTGGGAAAAGGCCGTACCATTTGTTTATTTACGAACGATTATTTAATACGTAAATTTATTTCGAAAGGGATTTGCTTGAGGGTTGCTACTACTAATCTTAAATTGGTAGCGGAGTCCCTGACGGGATCCGCTGCTGATCTGTTGTTTCGAAATTGACGAGCGTTATGGCAAGTTCGCAAGGCGTAGATGCCTTAAAGGACTTATGGGTCCCGGTCTTTAGTAACCGATCCATTGATTACAAGGAGTGGAGAGCTAGAATCCACTTGTATTAAAAGAAGATAATCCTATAGAAGAAATCGCGGGAAGGTTTGATTAACCTACTTACTACCTTGAGCGGGATAGCATGGAAACAGGTGGAACCTATCGCCGAGAAGGCGAGGGAGGACAAAAACGGCTTTAACATGATTATGGAAGTTATGGATAAAACCTTCCGCTACGATAGCCGCGTCGAATAACCACGAAGCTTCGAAAGGTTTTTCTATAGTATGAGCCGCCGGAGCGATTAAACCCTTATGTCGTATTGCGCGGAACATAGAGAGGCCCTTCGTGAAGTGGAAAAGCACAACATTAAGTTGCCACCCGAGGTTACCGGATGGTTGATGCTTCGCGTAGTGGCTTGACGCAAGAATAGAAACAATTTGTGCAAAGCTAGTGTATTTGTGCAAAGCTAGTGTGGAGTAATCCTCGAGGAGAGTAAGGTTGAGGAGGCCATGTATTACCTCTTCGATCAAGATTACCGAGGACGTGTCGGACCTTAGCTTCGATACAACAACCACTAGCACTCCAAGGGCAAGAATAACAACTGGCGAAAGACAGCTTAGGCCTACACCACCTACGATGAGGACAACTATGAAGAAGAGGCTTATGAAGCTGAAGAAGATCCCTTCGGCTTTGAATAAAGCGTTGATGATGAGAATGCCCACTATGAGGGTGACGACACCTACGACCTTGAGGATGATGAGCTGCTCCTCTACAACGAGGACGACTACCCTGACTATGAGGACCCTGAATGGGAAGAATGCTACGCGACCTACTTGGACGCACGAAGACGGTCCGCTGAGCTTCGAAACAACAGAGGCTTCTACCCGGTCGTCGCTTTGGCTGACCAAGGTACTTCATCGACTCCATCGTTTTCGCAACGACCTCTATCATCTCGTGGAAAAGGAAAGGGTTACAAGGGTGGAAAAGGCAAGGCTCATCGCACCTCCACACCTCAGAAGGGAGATGCCAAAAGCCGCGGAAAGGCAGCACTGTCGAGCTCTTCGGCTACCAAGACCTGCCTCCGTTGTGGCCAACCAGGCCATTTTGCAGCGCGATGCACTCAGAAGCGCAGCCCTACATCCAGTCCTACCTCATCAGCTGCCAAGAAGAGCAAGCCTGAACAAGGACTCATGGTCAACTTCGAAATGAAGGACTTCCAAGCACTCCCCAAGGGAATTTTTGGAACTATGGATGGAGGAGCCAGCTGCATGGTTCTGGGCCACGACACCTTGATGAACTACATCGAACACTTCCACAAGGAGATCGACGTCTCCTGCTTCAAGTTCCGACCTGCCACCAAAGCAATGCAGTTCGGAGGTGATCGCACAATGGAAGCACAATGGACCGTGCACATGCCTGTGTGCGTGCAAGGCCGCCTTGGCCGTGCCGAAGCATTTGTGGTGTCCGGCTCAACGCCGTTGCTCATCGGCCGACCGATCTTGAAGGCCATGAAGATTCAGTTGAACTTCGTTGAGGACACCATGAGCGTCAACGGCTCCCCATGGAAGAAAATTGTCATGGGCCCTCGTGGAGAACATCTCCTTCAACTTGATGAAGGACTGGAGTCAATCCCTGAGGACGGCTCCTATGAGTTCGACTTCATGATGGAAGAGACCTTCCAAGCAGTGACACAACAAGCCAGCACGACAACAACAGAGACCTACACACTCGAGCACTACTTGGAGCTCACTGGTCTCCCTCCCCCGAACCTGGAGGAGGAATAAGCCATGCACACACAGGAGAACCAACAGATCGACGCAGACAGCAACGAGACCTCTGACCCAGAGGATGACGATGATGACACCAACACCTGCTACAGACGCACACTGACCGACAAACTGGTCAGAAGCTTCAGAGTCCACCAGCAACACATGGCACGACGCCACAAGATGACCATTGAACAAGCCTTGGCATCACACGCCAGTTCAGCAAGACAATACACAACAAGCAATACAAGCAAGATCGAATCTCAATCTTCGAACACCCCAAGTACGCTACCTCGTGGGAAACACCAACACTACAACAGCTAGAAGGCTACGACGCACACGTCGATCAGTGCCAGTATGGAGCAACACTGCCAGACAACAATGGTGACGAGCAATACATCCGAAAGCCAACAACACTGAGAGTCACCCATGAACAGTTAGCAGCACAACTGCATCGAGTCTGCACTAACGAGCACTACCACCTTCCCATTGAAGGGAGCTCACCCATGATTGGAAACCGTGCAGCAGCAGCCGGCAGCTACAATGCCAACATGTGCCGAGAATGGGCCAGCATTCTGTACGACTTCATGCATCACAACTACTGGCCGTACGATGCTGATGAACAGGCATACCCAGCAGAAACAGAGCAACAGCTGCAGCCACAAACAACAGCCGCCGCTGCAGAGCAACAGCTACAGCCTGCAACAGCAGAGGACGAGTATGACATCGAGGAACTGGGCAACAACAGCGGCATCCTGACACGACTACAAGAAACACAGCTCGCAGCAGCCAAGCGAACTGTACAGAGATTGCACAGGAACCTCGGCCATCCAACAAATCTTCAACTGTGCAAGATTCTCAAACAGAAGCAAGCAAGTGCATCAATACTTCATGCAGCACAAGAACACACTTGTCAGCTCTGTGATGCACACAGACCACCACCACAGACATCCAAGAGCACCTTGAGGACCGGTGGCAGCTTCAACAGCCGCATCCAGGCAGACACAGTCTGGATCAACCCGTCAGGCCACTTTCACCGCAAGCAGAAGCCACAGGCAATCCCAGTCCTCAGCATTGTGGATACAACCACCAAATTCATGTCAGCCAGAGTCCTTCAAGGAGAGCAATCCGATGAGTTCGTACAAGCCATCGAACGAGGCTGGACACGACACTTCGGACCACCCACCATCCTACAGGTAGATGACCACCGGGGATGGGCATCCGAACAGCTCAGAACTTGGGCAAGTGATCACGGCACCGAGCTGGAAATCTCACCCGGCCAGGCACACACCCGGCTGAGCATTGTGGAACGACGGCACCAGGTACTCCGAAGGGGTATCGAATTGTTCCTTGCACACCGCCGCCAGCAGCCAGATCATGACCCAAACATGCCTCACAGAGAGCGCATCATCCAAGCGCTGAACTATGTGATACCACAGATCAACAATACTCCCAATGTCCAAGGCTTCAGTGCCACCCAATGGGCGATGGGCGCACAGCCCAGGATTCCAGGAGTGTTGATGGATCACGATCTCACTCCAGCCCAACTCACTCCAAGTGAGGCCATGCAAGCAAAGCTGACATTGCAGAAACAAGCAGCAATAGCAGTCATTGAAGCAGACAATGATGCTCGACTCAGGAGAGCCCTCCTAAGACAACACCAGGCCATTCAATATGTGTATCACACAGGCCAACGAGTGTTTTACTGGCGAGATGCACC